ATAATATCATTATTCTTTAAATAATTATATATTTTACACTCAAAAGTATCACCAATTGATGTTGATAAATTTTTAATTAATAATTTTGATATCATTCTAATAATTTAAAATAAAAAAAATTAGTAAATTCTATTCACTACATGCTATGGAAATCATCACATTTTTCAATATCTAATTATAATCTCAATATTATATTTTCAAAAAAAATATAATATATTCAGATTATAATTAATAATATCTAGTAGCAGCGTAACTTTGAATTCTGATATAATAAAACTATTATATTCAGATTAATACTAAATATATATTAAAATACATATCTTAATAAATTTTTCTTATGTATATAAAATCTTATTTAATATAATAATTAATAATATATCAAATAAGTTTTTCTTTTTATTCTTTTTGTATCACAAATATAATTATCATCATAATTAAAACAATTATAATAATAAATAAAATTATCATTTTTAATTAATCATTATTTTTTTAAAATATTATATCATGAAATAATTCTATTATTAATTTCTATAATTATTTTATATAATTTATAAATAATAAAAATTTTATCTGATTCTTATATTCAAAAAAATTATCAATATTAATTTTTTTTAAAATTAATATTATTATCAAAATAATTATTTTCATTTTGATTTAAAATATAAATATAAAAATTATTATTATTATTATCAATAAAAGATAAAATAATATTATTAATATTAATATTTAAATTATATTTCTTATTTATTTTTTCTAATATTTTTTCAAAATTTTTTTCTTGATTATTATGATAATGACAATATAATGTTGATAATTCTTTTTTCATATTATATATTAAAAATATATTTCCTATATAAATAAAAAAAAGAAATATTTGATTATTAAATGTATATAAATGATCAAAAATTATAAAAATATTATCATAAATCATAAAATCAATTTTATCTTTTAAATCTTCATAATTTTTTATTTTAATTATTTTTTTATCAATAAAAAATTTTTTATTATTTAAATAATTACTCATTTTTTGCAATATAAGTGATGATTTTGTTTGCTTTTTTCCTTCTAATATATGAAATTATTATAATTTTATTGATATCATTCGAATTGATGATTTGAGTGCTTGAGAGTACTTATTAAAGATGGCTTCTTAACTAGTTATAACTTGTAGCAGCCAATCAGAGAATTATGACAGAGTTGTAGCTAGTTACAATTCTCATCACTAGTACTTATCATCTTTAAATACAAATATATTATCTATTACATTTACCAATTTCACTTTCACTATTTGATATTTAAATTTATTATTTTTCATTTATTTTTTTTTAATAACTTTATATTAAATTAATATTGACATCTTGTTTTTTCATTTTCTATTATATATTGGCAGTGGTTATATTAGTTTGCTTCTGTGCAAGCTTTATAATTTTTTTGTCTTGTTTCAAAGTTTTGTTTTTTTTATGAGATTTACTAAAGCTGAGTAGTATCATATGATTTTGTATTCAATCTGGATCCAAATCATATAAAAAATATACATGATAAGTAATGTGTAAAAAATACATATGATAAGTAAAGATTGGCTGAATAATTTTGATTAACAGATAATCATAATATTAATTGATTAATAATTGAGAATAAAACTCATAATGATCAGAATAAAGCATATTTATTTTTTTGTAAAAAATAATAGTAATAAACATAATTATAAAATTAATTAACTTGTAAAATAATAAACTATTATATTGCAATTTTAAAAATTGGATCTAATAACTTATTCAAATATGTAACAAATGCTTTAGTAATATTATTATCATCTTCATTCTCAATTTCTCAATACTTATCTCACACCCTTTCTAAAAGCTCATCTACCTGCAATCTTCACATCTCTGTCTCTCTCTCTGCTTAAGTCTGAATAGGCTTAAATATTTCAATCATTTCACAACACTCATATACTTCAAACCTGATCTCTGTGAATATTTGTTGAAATTCCTCTCAAATATTAATCATTAGTAACTTATTAGAACCAAAAAGATACTCATGAAGGATATATTGATAAGAAAATAGATAGTGATGAAAGAATACACAAGAACATGCTGATAATATCAGGTTTGGTAGTGATTTTTCTTTCATGATTCTCACACTTATAGTAATGGTCTCATTTGTAATCAGTTTTTAAATAGAGTAGAGAAATTTGCAAACTTTCTCTAGAATCTCATCATCAAGATTAGCTATGGAAATTTATTTCTGATAGAAATTGAAGACAGTCTTTTCAGAGTCAAGTCACCTTTTACTATTGAGATCAGCAATCTTGTAGCATGCTCCTAATATTAATACAAGTATTTGATGAGTAGAGAATTGTAATAAAAAATATTATTAAGCAAGCATGATATTTATAAGACCAAACTCTTTAGCTATTATTCTTTTAAGCTTACTATAGAAGAATTCTAATAGATTAGTTAAGATGACTTGCAATAGGAGAGGTGAATACTATCACATTCAGAGTATCTATTTTTCTATATTTCTGATGTAATTTCAATTAATATAGTTAATGATATCAGATACAGGACAAGTAGTAACAGCATTATGAATGATCTCTTTATAGCTAATTCTTGTTTATTTATACATAGTCAAGGCTAATTGATTGTATATTACTAGATGATAGATCTTGCATAGCTATGTACGTATCACATGTATAGTGTAAAGAATTATATTGCAGTTTTGTTTATCATGTATGATTTCTGGAAAAGTATTTATGATACTATTGATCTTCACACTACTCTGATCAGAGAGCATGTATTGAGAGTACCAATGAGGTACAAATTTACGAATTATCTTTAGCACTTTAGTAACTATACTATTATCTTCACTGCTTATAAGAAAATAAGTACCAACATCTCAGCATCCATGACTATTATGAACGTATAATATGAAGAGACACTATAAATATTTATTGATATTATGTGTGAAGTTTATGAGTATTAGTCATTCAAAAAGTCATAATTTCTCCAATTATTTAGAATTTATAAAAATAAAATCTTGGAATAATTTTTACATGATATTATATGTGTCTATATATATGTTATTTTATATTAAGAAGTGTTTAACTCGATAATTCTTACTTATTAAAAAATTGAGCATATTTTTAATATTAATTTCTAGATCATATTCATTAATGAGATGAGCTGTCAGCAGTTTATGTAGCTTTTATTAGATATTTGTAATTTCAGTTCTGTGTAGGTTTTAAACTATAATATCAAGATCTTTTTTACTTGTGATCTCTTTGACCGTAGCTATGATAGTAAATAAAGTATATAATTTACTTGTTTTATTAGCTACTAATTTTCTAATAATCTCAGATTGCTTAATCTTATCATTATCATTGATTGAATATGTATGATTCGACATATTTTTAAAATGCTTAATTTTGACCATTTGAAGAGTAGCAATGTATGTTATCTTAATTTTTGCATTACATTCATCAGAATTATGCTTACTTATTTTTCTTTATTTTTCTATGAAAATACCTTCTTTACATATGCTTGATTCATTATATTTTACAAGATAACAGATATAGATGACCCAAAAATTATTATTGATACACTTCTAACTATTATATCACATCTATATATTAGAAATAAACAGTCACAAGTTCTCATGAAATTCTTTTTCTGAGATTTTAAATAATGTATCAATATTGAATAACTTTGTACATTTTTAATTAATCATTTATAACATAATTAAAGTAAAAATATTGAAGAACTTAAATAAGAATGATAGATAAATATAAAGTGGCAGAATGAGAAAGTTAGCAAACTGAACTAGAAAAAAAAATAAATAAAAAATTGTAGAAATGTTGAATATACATATTGAATGAGTATGTGATAGAAAAATAAAATAAAAAGTATATGATATTAGAAATGGCAAGTATACATAGAATTGATTTCTTATATGTTATTATTATAACACTTATAAAGAATATATGATATTAGAAATGGTAAGTTATTATAATACTTATAGCTTGTATTTGATACCAAAAATATATTCTTAATAATCTTAGCCCCCTTTCTCTTCTTCTTCTTCTTCCCCTTCTCCCTTAAAAAAAATAACGCTATCTTGCAATAAATAATGTTTATTGATATGTTTACTATATCCTTGTAATAAACAAAATTTTTTTCTTTCACATGTGAAAATGACTTGCAAATCGGATCAAATCAACCCAGATCATATCTGAATTGACTCGATCCGAATTGCACTACCCGGCTTTAGTATTCCCCTTTTTTATAACAATCGATAATTACTATCTCAGCCAATCATAACTTTGCACATGATATAATCCGGATCGGGTTCAATATCACATGATACTACCTGACTTTAGTGGACCCAAGTGGAAATTTGGTTTGTAAACTGGTATTTTATTACACGTAACTTTAAAAACGCGTTTCGTCATTCAAAATGAAAAGTTTACACCTTTAAGATCTGTAACTGGTGTAATGAATTGGTTAGTAATATATAACTGCCGGAATTGTGAAATCGTAATAGAATGAGATGAAAACAATATTGCTTGATTAAAATTCTAACTTTAGGGAAATAATAAATTCGGACTACCATTTTTTTACATCATTAGTATTGGAATTTCATTGAATTTTTAATTCGCGGATCAAAAAAATAAGCTTGTAATAAATTCAAATGTTTGTACATATAAAAATACTATAATAAAATATAACATAAAGAATGTATAAAGAATATAATAAAGGATCGAGGGCCATTCAATATTCAAAAAAAAAATCGAATACACACCCACTTTCATGATGATCCTTGCTATATTATGTATAAAAAATGCAATAGGCCGAACATAATGGTGAATGTATAAGTGATCAAACAAGAGACAAATCTAACTTCTAACTATCCAGATAAATCTCTAATAATCGTCTTTTTGTTGATTTTTACTATCCATATTATCCATATGCACACACTCTTTGTATGAATTAATAATTAGTTAATTACAATTTCAACTCCCCTAGAATTTTTGAACACATATTTTTGTATTGCCACGGATCACCGGCTACCCGTCGGAATTGTAACCCATGTACCCCAAGTAATAATGGAACTTTAACTATAAATATTTCAAAACGTACCACAAGATCAGTAACATTTGCTGTTCCTTGTCCTTTATTGTAATTACTGCTGATAATGGCTTGGTCTCGATCTTCATTACTAGTAGATAATGACAACCGAACTTCTCCATCTGATGAAAATTCCAAATCTTGACCTTGTATATAGCTATCCTTGTATAATGATGGTGTTGTAGATCCGCCAGAATGTGCAGAAGAGACACTGCTTCTACGATCATTTCGACTAAAATGAGCATGGTGATGATTAGTTAAACCTGCTTGGGATGTAGATTGGTTACTATTTTTGCTTCCAGGCATATTACTTGTATAATTATTGTTGTTATTGTTATTATTTCCATGTACAACAGATTTAAGATCAATGCTAGGAATATGTACACATTCGAATCCCCCACGTCCTTCTCGCCATTTTACACCAATTCGTTCTAAGACCCGAATAAGGTCTTGGCGGATAGTTGATGGTGGTTTTGTAGAAGTTGTGGCCACGCTAAAGAGACCTTTGAGAAAAACGGGTCTTATATAAGAATCTGCCTTTCCGCCGGGTAAAGGTGAATGTGGCGAAGAAGAAGGTGGAAAATTAAAGTCATTATCATTTGTTTTTGGTTCTTTTGATGATTTGCTATTCCCCGTTACAGTTTTCATCATGATAGCACCACTAGTGGAAGTGCTGCGTTGATGATAATTACGACTTGAAGAAGATGAAGATGATGCAGCTTGATGAAAAGAAGATCGATTAGGAGATGTTGGTGATGTAATAAGGGGAGTGGTATCAACTTGTGGTAATGCTCCAACTGGCGCCTTGGATCCCGGTATCTTTAGAGCACCACCAAGTCGATTCCCACCAATAGAGTTTCTTGATCGATGACGACGATACTCAGCTTCAGATACTGAAGTCGCCCTAGATAACATATTTGTAATACGTGTAGACAAATGGCTAGAACCTTCACGTTTTGGAGAAGATCCATGTCGTCGATGTTCACTATTTCTAGGGGATGATGACCCAGATGTTGGTGATGGTAATGTCTCACGCACTTGATTGCCAATAGCTATACTTAAACGTCTTATTAATCCACCCCCAGAATTACTATTATTAGAATGTTCATTACTTTTTTTTCCGTAATTTAATTCGCCACTAGTTTCATCTTCTTCAGGAATTTCTGTCTCATCGACAGCAGGAGGAACACTAACCATATTATTTAGTTCGCTCTCACCATTTGTCCTTGAACGTGGTCTTGTTCCAGAGGGAACAGTTGCACGTCTTACCATAGGTGAATTAGGATTTGAAATTCCAGTTCCCCGAATAGTTGAATCATAACCGTTAACATTTCCAGAATGTGACGGATCAGGAACAGGAATATGTGGTATATGCATCGTACCTGCTTCAAGTGACGAAGAGGAGGATCCAAATTTCGGGGTGAGTCCAAGTTGAATTTGATGATCTCTTTCCATTTTTTCTTTAACTAAATAATAAATTGATATTAACGGATGAACAGCCTGATTAGGATCCGCTGTGATCGCCTTATCGTCTTGAAGTGTATTACTACTGGTCCCTGCTAGTTTTTTGCGATAAAAGTCAAAACCGCTAGATTTTTTCTTAAGTTCTTGACTATTGCTATTATTGCTGCTAGTAGCTTGATTATATTGATGCACTCTTATTGAATTTTGATAGGAATCGCTTTTGATTATGGCTTCAAGTTTCGATCTAATTTCTTGCTCGGTGCCAAATTCAAAACCAGTCATTCCACGAATTACTTCAGGATCAAGAGGAAGGGTTAGCGGATAACGTTGAGGCAAATCATTTGCTGGTGGTTCATCATAGCCTTTATTCATCCATTGATGATTCATGACTTCAGCAAGCGATGCACGATGAGCGGGATTTGTTACCAACATTCGTGAAAGTAAATGCTTACAATCTAATTACAAACATTTTATATTGTAAGCACAAAAATGACAATACAATAAAAAAAAAACTCTGCTGTTTTATTCTTTTAGCGAAATTTAGCTCACCGCTACTTAGCCAACCGGGATATTCGACAACTCCTCTTTTGATCTTCGCATGTAATGCGGGCATACTTTGGTCATCAAAGGGAACTTTGCCACAAACAAGTACATAAAGAACAATTCCAAAGCTCCAAACGTCCACTTCGGGACCCGTATATAATTTAGCATTTAATAGTTCAGGCGCCGCAAAATATAATGAACCACAAAATGTGGAAAGATGTCCTCGCGGCGAGTATAAATTCGATAGTCCAAAATCAATAATTTTGATTGAGCCGTTTTTAGAAATAAGAATATTTTCTATTTTTAAATCTTGATGATAATAACAATAATAAATAATTTACTTAGTTGGTTCATTAACATCATAAAGGTACGTTTGTCTATATAAAAAAAATATTAAGCCAAAATAAATACCTCGGTGCACAATAGAATTTCGATGACAATAATCTATATTTTCATAATATCATATGTATACATAAAAATTAATCTGTTATTACTACTAATTTAGTACGTTCGCCTAAGGGAAAAGATTTCTTTAAGAATTCAAAAAAAAAAGAAACCAAAATATTTACCCAATGCGCTTGCAATTTGTCTGGCAAATTTTCTTGCGTGTTTTTCTTTTAGTTTGCCATGACTGATAATATAATCTAACATTTGACCACCATTCACATACTCAAAAAACATATAATAGTAGTCTGGTAACACCATTACTTCTTTTAACTGTACAATATATGGATGATGTAATAGAAGCATTATCGCCGCTTCCCGTATTGTACGAGTTTCTTTATTGTCTTCCTTTGCTGATGGATCTTTATCTTTTGTCTCTTTATCAGATGGAACTATCCGTGGAATTATTTTTACAGCTAACTAAAAAAAAAGTAACGTAACAAAGCAAAATAGAGAGATGGTTAGATACATATCAATTTAAGATCTTTTTATTTCCCGAATCCTTCGCCCAATATAATCATTTATAATAATTAAACTCATACCTTTTCATTAGTCAAAGAATGAACAGCGAGTTTCACTTTTCCCATGCTACCCGCACCCAAAGTTTTTGTTAGCGTATAATTACCCAAAATTTTTTTAGGTTTCACTTTTACGTGTTGATTGTTCGCCATATGATTATTTGCTATATTTTCACCATTAGGGTCGGAGGTTGTAATAACTGGTGCGGGAGAACTATTCGAATTGGTTGATTGTATTTTTTGTGGCTGTTTTTGTTGATGGTTTGAATTCTTATGCGTAGGCGGTCGTTGTTTCGCAGAAGCTTCTTGCTGCTTTTGGGATATCTGAGAATTTTCTCGAGTATCAGCTTTAATGGCCATTATAGCTTCGCTCAAGGCATCCCCGTCAGGAGGTGAATACACTGGTAATTCTAAGGGAACAGGCGAGTCACATAAAATTGTGGGACCGAGTTGCTCCACCTGTAATAATTGTTCGTCAATCTCCGATCCTATTAAAGAACTATCAATTTCAAGAATATCGCTAGCAGGGTGAAATTGTTCGAAATCTTCGTTTGAAGAAAGCGACCCACTACCAACAGTGTTAAAATTTTCACCAGTTTTACCGGTTCTGTGCAACAATTTTCTTTGCTCATCGTGTTGGGGGTTTTGTTGGTGGCTTTGCTCTACCGCACTATTACTATTTGTAGTTTGCGCCTCTTCTATTATTAGTGTTGGGGGTAAGTCCTTTGACACAAGATCCGTATAGTATCTATTATCTATTGCAACTGGAGCAGATATAGAAGTTCCAGTGGGTTGTGTAGATGGCATTTGCATAAGGAAAATGAGTGTAAAGGAAAAAAGTGTTCTTTTTTTGTCGTGTTTTGTTTTTAAAACACGCTCGCTCTCGCGACTATTTCACCAAAATTATATAAATAAATATGTATATATTTATATTAGAATATTTTTTAGGAAGAGTTTATTTTTTTTATTTTCCGCGAAAATATTTCAAAAATTTTTATTAATTAAATTTTATTGTTGTCGCATTGGTATATAGAAAAGGATATCACTATTTAGCATGGAACTGAAAATCCAAACGCTGGAAATTTTTTGTGTTTGCTTTTTGGGCGTTTGTTATCTCAGAAGCTTAATTGGAAAGGTTATCGTTATGAAAAATTGTTCTGGTGTTACAGTGTGCTATAACTTTGAGAATATACATGAATTTTCTAATAAAATTGAACCAGGTGCGTTATTTCTTTTAGATTTTATCCAACAATCATTTTGTATAAAGATCTATTACACCTGCAGAACAATGGTAACGTTTGGATAACCCTCTTTCTCATTCATACTATGTGTACAAGTTCAATTCAATACCCTTTTTTTAATAATGTAATGCAAATTCCTATTCGGGGGACAGGCATGCCATGCCATGCACCCATCTGTGGTCACATGAATCGTAGATTATTTGCTTTATTTATCATAAATGAATAATTTACTTTGCAAATCTGATATTTATTATTCTTATTTATGATCATTAAATTTCCTAATATTATACTATAAGAAAAGTTTAGTCTTTATATAAAAACATTGATTTAAAAGAAAAACAGAAAAACAGAATAAAAATGAATTTGATCATCAAAAAAAGGAACTGTTTTGGCTCCTAACCCCTACTTATATATTTCAGTGTTAGAAAATGTGACCTTTACCAAATGTACTTTCAGTAATGACGATTTCGTGATCGGCTTCGATAATAGGATCGCTTTCTATCTCGTGTGCTTGACCTTGATCGACTTCGGTACGATCTTCTTTTATCGCGAGAATGAGATCTTGATCTTCTGCGATCATCATGCCCATATCTTTTATTATTCCTGGAACGAGATCGGTGGTTTGTTCGTTCAACTGACGTTGACCTGCTTCGTCTGGATCTTCCATCCCTCGATAATGAACGATCACGACGATATGGAGATCTGGAATGCGACGAGCGGCGTCGATAATGTTCTAGTGACCGCTCTCGTTTTTCGTTACCTGAATCTTCTTGGGGATTTTTTCTATCTTTTACATCGTTAAGTTCATCCTTTCCAATAATATCAGCCCACGCATTCCAACTTTAGCCATTCAAATGAGTACATATATAATAATAAGCGAGGATGAACTCGAAGGAAGCTCAATTTTAAATAAAACTTTACCGATCATCATCATCTCCTTCTTCCTCCTCTTCTTCCTCCACTTTATTTTTCTTTGTGTCCTCAATACTAGAAGTCTTACCAAATAGTTCATCTCCATTTTTGCTGATAGTGCTGTTATTACTACTGAGATTATTTAGATTGCTGCTGTTGTTGTTGTTGTTGTCGCTGTTAACATTCCCTCCATCCTCTTTACGTTTCTTTTTCTTTTTTCGACCGAATTCATCCCATTCATCATCTTTTTCAGCATCACGGGATTGACGATACTCTATTACTTCATCTCGTTCTAAAAAACCGCCACCGCGTCCTTCACGGGAACCTAAAGTAGTTTCCAGACCAGGCTTGGGCGTTTTGCATTGATTACATTCATTTCGGCGAGCCCAATTAATATTAGAGCAACTAATACAGAAAAAAAATTAAGTCCAAAAGAATTTTTAAAACGCCATTTGTATTTCGTCATGAGAAATCATTTCTAAATAAGACTCACATGGAACACTTCCAGTCTTTTTCAGAGAAAAGACCCTGGATAAAACCATTTTTGTATGTTAAACCCAAACAAGGAACCGTATACGATATACTAACTACTCCACTCAAGGGACCTTATCATCCCGTCTACTACACGTAACGAAACGATACCCCATAGCGGTTGGCAAATTCCCTGCCAACCTCACCACTAGCAGGACTGTTCTCTTCGCGTGCACGCCGTGAAGAGCCACTCTCTCGTTCCCGATCTCTACCCCGATCACGGTCGTAGCGAGTTCCTCCGGCCATTTGATAATGTAGTTTTAGGTTTATTAATAAGAGTATTAAGTTTGCTAAAAATAAAGAACATTATGATTGATTATGCTGTGAAACAATGATTTCTAATTATAGGGGAACACTAGTGCAATTCGGATCGAGTCAATTCAGATATGATCTGGATTGATTTGATCCGGATTGGCAAGTCATGCCACATGCGAAAGAAAAAATTTTGTTTATTACAAGATGTAAACATATTAATAAACATTATTTATTGCAAGGCAGCATTGCTTTTTTTAAGAAAGAAGGAAGAAGAAAAAGGAAAAGAGAGACTAAGATTATTAAGAATATATTTTTGATATCAAATATAAGCTATTTTATGGGCTTTTGAGCTTATAAAATGGATGTAAGTGTCATCTTTGTCTTTCCTTTTGCTATATTATATAATAACAATTTTCTTGTAGGATCATGCAATGGCGGGATGGTACTTATAAGTATTATAATAGCTTACTATTTTTAATATTATATACTCTTTATTTTATTTTCTATAATAACTCATTTAACATTTTTACAATTTTTTATTTGTTTTTTTTTCTAATTCAATTTGTTAACTTTCCTATTTTATAATATATTCATCATTATTTTTATATTTAAGTTCTCTAATATTATTACTTTAATTATATTATAAGTAATTAATCAAAAATATATAAAGCTATTCAATATTAATATGTTATTTGAGATTTCAGAAAAAGAATTTCATGAGAACTTATAGTTACTTATTTCTAATATATAAATATAATAAAGTATATTAATGATAATTTTTAGATCATTTATATTTATTATTTTGCAAAGTTTAATAAATCAAGCATATATAAAAAAGATATTTCTATAAAAAAAATAAAGAAAAATAAGTAAGCATAATTCTGATGAATATAATATAAAAATTAAGATAATATATATTATTACTTTTTAAATAGTTAAAATTTAATCTTTTTAGAATATACTAAATTATATATATTATTATAATATAGATTTTTCATATATATTTTATTAATATTAATTATTTCATATTCATATTTTTATTAGATAATTAATTAATTATATTTTATTAGATAATAATTAAAATAATATTATTAACAGATATTTTTAGATAGTTTTATAAATATAATAATTATAATGAAATTATTATAGTAAAGTTAATAAAATTATTATAATAAATTAGTAATATTATCATAATAAAATTAATATTATAATATTAATAAAACTAGCATTTAAATTATAATAAAAATATTATTTATAAAATTTTTAAAATATATAAAATAATATATCTTATAAAGAAAAATAAATAATTAATTAATAAATAATTAAAAATAATTAATAAATAAATAAAATAAAGAATAATAAGATAAAATAATAATTTAAATATAATAATATTATAAATTAATAATCTTTATTAATAATATCTTATTTATT